TGTGTGTGTGTGTGTGTGTGGTGTGTGTGTCTGTCTGTCTGTCTGTCTGTCTGTTGGTGGCCCTGGCTGAGCCAGCCTCACCGAGAGGAGGTTGAATGCTTGTTCCGCATGGGGGTGTCTGGGAGTTGGGTGTGCCCAGAGGCTTTGCTTCCCTCCTGCTCCCACGGCCCAGTGAGTCAGCCCAGAGCAGCAGCGCTGAGCAGCCGAGGAGCCAGCCCCTGCCACAGCCTGCCCTTCTCCCGGCCGCCCTGATGGAGAAGCTGGCCATGCTGCCCCTGGCCTCCCCATGCCCCCGGATCCCCAGAGCCCACGTCGCCAGACAGTCCAGGCCCTGTTGGCACTGGGCCAATGTGGGCTGCAGGTATGGATGGTAGGGAGGGGGGTCTGGGCCTAAGTGTCTTAGGGTCTGCGGATATAGGATGTATTGTGTGCTGGGGCCTGTGTCTTCTCGCTGAATCTCATCACTCCCTTGGGAGGGCAGGAGAAGCCTCTCCTCACACAGGAGGAGGATACAGGTGCTCCCAGAAGCCAAGTCAGTTTGCCCCAGAGCACTCTGCTGACGGGCCCTTACACATAGCTGGGGTGGGTGTCCATGTTTCTTTGCTTTGCTGACAGGGCACTAGGGACTCATGCCTTCCTCGGAGATCCCTGGGAGGTTCACATGGGTAATGCATTCCGTTGCTAGCCAAAAGGTTGGCAGTTCGAGTCCACCGGAGGCAGCTCGGAAGAAACACCAGCTACTGAAACCCCAAGGGGGACATTGTCCTACTCTGACACACCTGAGGTCACCAGGCCCTGGAATCTGCTCAACAGCAACCAGGGCATGGGCCTCCAGCAGTGGCATCTCAGCTGGTCAGTGTGGCTGCCCTTGGCCGCCCCAGCTGGGCCACATACCACTTTCCATTCAGTGTGCCTCTGACGGCCAGAACCAGGATTTTTTTCGGGCTCATTTCCCCCAATTGTGATCCCTGCCTTTTTTAATGGTGTTCTTGTAAAAGTTCAAACAGCACAGAGAATGTATGGGCCCCAGAATGTAGCGCTGTTAAAGGAGCTCTGATGTTGCAGTGCTTAAGTGCGTGGCTGTTAACTGAAAGATTAGGGCTTCCAACCCACCAGAGCCAGTCTGTTTCCGTAAAGATTGACAGCTCTGGAGACCCGCTGGGGCAGCGCCGCCTGCCCTGCAGAGTCGGTAAGAGTCGGGTCAGCAGCGATGGAGTTGGGTTTTGCTGTTGGAGTTTTATCATGCGCCTCAGGAGACGTTTTTACATATATAAGCCTGCCTGCTTTACCCAAATAGAATCACGTTACACATGTGTGTCTAGCCTTGCTTTTACACCCAAATTGTGTTATGATCTCTTTACACATCAGTAACAGGAAGTCTAACTCATTCATCTGAGTGGATCCCCCAGATCCAGCTGTGTGGATGTCCTTTGATAAGCCGGTCCTGACTAATGGACATTTATAGTGGTTCCAATTTCCAACCCTTGTAAACAATGTTGCGGCACACGTCTCTGGGCACTCATGTTTTAAAATGCACCTGGTTCTCATGTATGGATGGCTTCACTACCTGACGGTTTGCATTCACGATGATAGTAACGAATCTACTTCCCAACTAATCTGTGCGCTGATGACATTAAGCCTGGCAGTGACGAAACCCAAAAAGCCAGGTGATGACACTCAATGCTCAACAGCGTTGGCAGTTCGGGTTATGGGTCAACTAGGCTGGGCTGTGATTCCCAGTGGTCTATCAGACCTGTCATGCCGTGACTGGGCAGTTATATACTGATGTAATCATCCTCCATTTTGTAATCTGATGGGTCTGTATTCTCCATTTTTACAAAACGCTGAATTTTGTACAACAACCTGGTCTTCAGAACCTAACCATGTGGATAAGTGAGGACAGACTGGATCCAATCTAATTCACGTATGAAACTATATTTATGTATACACAAATCAGATTATTTTATCTGTGCTATGTTGCGGTCTATTTTTCTCTTCGCATATTTTCAGGGAAAGACTCAAGAGACCTCTATATTTCTCTTTAAAGGTGTGTGTTGTCTTATGACTGAACTATACTCTAATTAGCCTCTTACTGGTAGACTTTTACCTTGTTTTCTTTTCCCTTGGCAGTGGGGACTGTCCTGCTCAGGGTGTGTGTGTGTGTGTGTGTGTGTGTGTGTGTGCACTAATAATTTTTTTTGCTCAGTTCCGAGCCTGCCTTCGGTCTTAGGCAGAGGGCATGGTAGAGCTGACTGAGACCGGAGCAGAGAGTTGCACACAGAAACCTCCAGCCCCTGCTTGCTGCTATACCAGGAGAGGGACCAGCTGGGAAGATAGAAAAGATCGGATCAGTGTGCTCCCCCCAATGGGGGTTTCTTTTTCCTTCCTGGATTTATCATCCTTATTATTTGTTATTTATATCACCCTAATTTAAACCGTGAGCTCTCCTCCTGGGCTGTGATGCAAACATAGGATGATTCCTAAATGTTGAACGAGTGACATGTGGTTTGGGCTGTTAACCACACGGGCAGCCGTCGGGACCCACCCGCCGCTCTTCTGGTGACAGACGAGGCGGTCTGCTCCCATACCGATTCACAGTCTGGAAAACTCACAGGGCTAGTTCTTCTCTGTCCCACTGAGGCGCTGTGAGTGACCCTCGACTGGGTGGCAGTGAGTTTTGAGTTCAGTCGGAAGCAAGCCTCTGAAGAGTGGCCTTTGTGGGTTTTCTTTAGGAGTCTCTGAAGTCCTGTTTGAAACCGCCTTCCCTTCTTAGTGAGAAACGCAGCCATGTGTTCTGCTAGAAATCCCACAGCATTGTGTTTGACAAGTGAAATCATCAAAGTCCTGGGAGACATAATTGAGTCATGAAGGTGCCTGTAATCTGTGTCTGGCATGACTTCTTACTGGCCCACATTCAATTCAACAGCAGTGGGCTTGTGTGCACTCGCTGTGTGCCCAACATTCACTTCTCACTACCATCGAGTCAATGCCAACACCTAGTGACCCCATCGGACAGGGTAGAACTGGCCCTGTGGGTTCCCAAGACTGGAACTTTTAGAGAGCCTCATCTTTCTCCCCAGGAGCAGATGGTGGTTTTGAACTGCTAATCTTGCAGTTAACAGCCCAACACATCACCGCAATGCCACCAGGGCCCACCAACGTTCCTCCTACTACGTGCCAAATACATTCCTGTATCTCATCCCAACAGCCCTGTGCATGCATCTTCATGACAAATTCCCAGAATAGGAATCAATCCCACAGCGTGTGCATTTAAACATAGGACGTGTCTTTCCCCAGGACGCTGCGCCCATTTTGCAGACTAAGTGGGTACAACTTTGTCTCCTTGAATTCTTGACTACATTCTTGACTGGACAGTCCTACTTTTGTCATCTGAGAGGCAGACGAGCAGATCTTCTCTATCAGTGAGGTTGGACATCTTTTCTCATGCTCAGCACCTGGCTGATCTTCAACGATTGACCATAGAGGCAGGAAGCCCGTGTGTCCATGTAATAGCCAGATTCCCTTTATTAATGAGTTAAGTGTCTTGACCTTGTACACAACTACAAGGTCTGCAGTTCAAAACCACCATCTGCTCCAATGGAGAAAGAGGAGACTTTCTACTCCTGTAAAGAGTTACAGTCTCAGAAACCCACAGGGCAGTTGGACTCACTATGAATTGGAATCCCCTCAGTGGCAATGAGTTTGAGGCTTTTGTTGGGGGGTGGTATTGTTGTTACTTTGTGGAGTAAATGGCAAAGTCCACCTGTGTTTGTTTCCTACAGCAGCCACACCAAAGATGGCATGGAGTGGCTTTAGGTGCCACCCATGTGTTGTTTTTCACTTCTGGAGGCACCTCGAAAGAGCCCGAGGGTGACTTTGAACTTCCAACCTTGCACTTGAGCAGCCCAGTGCGTTAAACCTGTGTACCACCTAGGGGCTCCCAATCTTGCTCACAGCCGCGCTAAGGGCAGGTCCCTTCTGACGAGTCCTCCTGTTCCCTCCCTTGCCACCCAGCGAAGCAGAAGGGAAGGCCCTCGTGACACCGCGGGGTGAGACGGCCACCTTCGCCAGCCCGTGGGTTCTCATCCCATCTGCCATGTGAAGCCGGCTCTCCAGCACCCCTCTCACCAGGGGTGCCTGGTGCTGCCCGGGTTGGCCAGCAGCTGCTCATAAAATAAAACATCTTTTTCTTAACACTTGCCAGCCCCGGTTGTTGGACCCTGCTTGCCAATAGGATGAGTGAAACATCTCCTTGTCGTTTGCATTTCCCTGATGCCCAGGCTTCTCATGCAGCCGTGTGCCTTGGCTCGCCCGAGGCTTGTTTCTTCATCTCTGGCAGCTTTGCTAGTGGACAATTTGGGGAGGTATTCTCCCCTACCCCCATATTGATTTCTAGGAACTTTTTATATAGAATAGACCAGGCTACTTCACTATGTGTTAAAAGCATTTTCCGCGACCTCCAGGGATCCCATCCCACTCCCATGTACTCTGAGCCCACTGTGTCCCCTGCCCCTGCCCTGTCGTCCGCAGTTGGTAGGCGGTTTATGGATCGTTTGTCTCTACACCTGCACTAGAGCAGTTACTCTGTGCCAAATGTTTTACCTGCGCCACTCTTGTTATTATTCATCAGTTATTTTATAATACACTAGGTGAGATGCCACTCTCATTTTAACTCTCATGCAACCACAGAATGGAACACAAATCATCCAAGCCAACCAAGCTCAAAAGCAATACTATTAAAATTATTGACATTAATATAGTATGATAGATGGTGTCTTACAGCTATTAGACCCTAACTCTAAAAACTGAGCATGCTATTAACCACTTATCTTATCCTGAATTTGGTAGGCTATGCCATCTTTCAATGCTGCCTCCATGGTCCTCTGTTTTCAGTGTGAACTTTTGTTCACCTGTTGAGATAGGCACCTATGATTACGTATATCTATGATTAAGTTTACCCACCCCGCTGTCTGACTGTCACACTACGGCAGCCTGGATGTCGCTGTAATGCTGGACACCACGCTGCCTGCATTTCACACTCAAGCGGAATCCACAGGGGCCGACAGGCTTATCAGGCGTTGTCTTGTTAGGTGCTGCCAGCACTACTTTATCTCATCCCCCCACAACCTGGGGCAGAGGATTAGCATCACCGCATCTCCACGGTGTGAGGCCAGCGGGACGAGAGAAAGGCTGAGGTCTAAAGAGACAGCCACTTGAAAAAGATTCCACTCCAGGGCCTGGGCCCTTAGTCACTGTATTAATCCTCTGACTGCTGTAAGAAATTGCCACACGTTTAGCGGCTTAAACCGTACACATCTATTATCCTCTGGTTCTGGAGGTCAGAACGCAAAATGGGTCTCA